CTCCGCGTCGCCAGCGGGAAGCCAGCTCCAAAACAACAAAATAAGGGAGCAAGAGCGAGCGAGACAGAGAGAGACTATTCCGGGAGGTGGAGTCCCGAAGAAGGAGGGGATAGCTGGGGAGGTGAGGGGTGGGGAGAGGAGGGAGGAAAAGCAGGCTGGGGAACTGACCAAACTCCAACACACTTCCGCGCGTCAGGGCTGGGCCGGACCACGCGGCTCCGCCCTCCTGGGAGCCAGGGGTGCCACTGCTGGTGTCCCGCCTTCTGTCCTGCTGGTGCGCGCCCGGACTCGCTCGGGTTCAGTCCAGGAGAACGGGATCGGGGGAGTCCGTCCAGGGATCCGGAGCTGCGCGCCTCCGCCGGCCCAGCCGCGGACGCGGGGTGACACCTTTCGCCCGGGGTAGGAGCGCCGCGCGAGGGAACTCGCTAGCCACCGCCGCCGACTTGCCTCGGGGGCTCGGTCACACTCCAGCCTTTTCTTGACGCAAGTCGGGAAAACTCCGAAAGTTTGCAGTGCAGAGAGTAGGGTGGCAAAGAGAGCGCCAAAGGCAGAGAGAAGTAGAGAAGCCCGTCTGCTGCTGGGAAGCAAAGCTGCGGCGTCAGCTTCCCAGCCTCCACATTCCTCTCGCTTGCTCTGATGGGTCTGGACGCTAGCACAGCTCCGGGATTGTTCTTTAAGAGAATCAGCAACAACCTGCAGGACTCTGGTGTCTGTCAAGCAATACCAGCTGCTGAGGGGCCCAGCTCCCTAGCCAGATAGAGCTGGGCAGCTTGCTGGGGCCGGGGTGCGGGTAGGGGAGAGACAAGACCGTATTTCTACAGTGACAAGGAACAAACCTAGGCACAGCCGGGTTCCGTGCTGCTTTGTCCAACAGCAGGAACTGGATGTACCAGCAACAACAAGGGGGGTCTGGCAGATAGGCTTCCGGGAGAGAGGGAGGAGGGAGGGAGGGTTTGATCCTCTCTCAGTTTATGCAAAGCGCCCCAAACATTGGTTTGGCCACGTATTATGCTGGTTCATTGGAGAGAACAGCACAACAGTTGGATTCTTGCTATGTCCCTCTGATTTTTAATTCATCCATTCCGTCTGCTTCACTAACAAAGGTGCCAAGTCCCTGGACCACAAAGATGAAAAAGACCTTGTCCTTACCTTCCAGAAATTCAGAGGTGTCCTGACATGTAAACAGATGTTCCTGTACTAGTGAGACCAATGCCAAGAAAATTGTATAGGAGGGCACTTACTTCAGCCTGAGTGGAACAGGAATCAAGGGCTTCTTCTTACTCTTGGAGGAGGTGTCAGAGCTAAGGCAAAGGTTTTAGAGAGCACCCATTTTCACTTAGTCCTGGAGCCTTGTTTACTCCTTCTAACTAGAGCTTCCTACCTCCCCATTCTTTTTGCTTATTGCAGATTAACAAGATAGTGTTGCTAGACTGTGACCTTTGGCTGTTTCGAAGGACATGGTTCCCAGACCTGTGGCTCCAAAACCCAATTTCATTTGTGCAATCAGTGGATCTGCTTTGCTAAGAAGATTAATATACAACCTGCCCTGGTGATGCACTTGGGAGGCTGCAGCAGGAAGATCTTGAGTTTGAGACCATCATAATGAGTGAAAGGCCAGCCTGGAATACAAGATCCTGCCTAAAAATAAAAATAAATTGGGAAGGGGTTGGAGGATGGCTCAGCAGGTAAGAGCTCTTACAGACTTTGCAGAGAACCTGGGTTCTATTTCCAGCACCCATGCAGGGGGCTCACAACTTTCTAAACTCCAGTTCTGGGGGATCCAATGCCCTCTTCTGGCCTCAAAAGTCTTCTGCACACACATGGTACACATAAGCTCACATACATACATATACATATAAAAATAAATAAATTAAAAAAATAAATAAATGGAAATTGAAGCAGGAGAACTTCCAGGAGTTTGAGGCCAGCCTGTGCTAGTGTGAGACCCTGTTTCAAAAAAAGTTCCAGGCATGGTAGGGCATGCCCATAGTCCTAGTACTTGGGAGGTAGAAGATCAAGAATTTGAGGTTATCCTTGACTACATGTGGATTGGAGACCAGCCTGGACTACACTGTCTAAAAAATAATAATTTTAAAAACTAAGTGTAATGATAAATTCCTGTGATCTAAGCACTCAAAGACAGAGACAGGAGGAATACTGGAAGTTCTAGATCCATCTTGTCTACATAACAAGTTCTGGGCCAGCCAGCACTACATTGCAAGACCGTGTCTCAAAAAAA